GGTTTTATCATTATTAATTGTCGTTTTTATGAACTTCATAATATTGCATTTTATTGATCTTAATACATGTTCACACACATAAATATACAAGTAACTAGAATTAATTGTAGAAACGCAGAAGTGATACACATAGAGGAGTCACAAACGGCAAATAATTTCAACTAAATGGTCAATAATACATTATTACTCAAAATACAAGAGGAAAGCAAATAGCCTGTAGAATGCGAATGTTCTAGTATTTTGTATTTGTTTTAAACAGAGAAGTACACGTTGGTTTTATGTTACTGTAAGTTTATCAATGTATAGTTGTGAAATATTGTTCAAATGTTCTGTATAATTCCATACAATTCAAGCATGTTGTTCGGGTGTCGTTGCCCTTCTAAATTTTCATATAAACCTATACAGCCCTAATTACTTACGTATCAGAATTCTACGCAGGTTATGTTGTTGTTGAGAATGTTTCATCTTTATCTTCCAGGTATCATTTTACAACTTTTGCTACATGCTTAGGTTTACTATCTTGACGGAAAATAAATACCTACCCAGTAAGTCTTGTTCTCAGGAACTGACAGAATAAATAATAATCTATATCAGTTCTCAGTATGCCATACATTTTGTTTATTTTCTAACGTCATTAGCTGAGACTCAGTCTAAACTTGTATTGTTCACCCAGCATGCTTCATTGTAGATGACGTATGTTGATCGTGAAATGATTCTCCTCTCTGGTATCGAACAAACTATCGTTAATTGTTTCCAAACAATTTGAATTTGGATTATTCTGTAAATAGTAACTTCCTTTAAATTTTCTCACCTCAATATTTAAACTATAACGCTCAGTTCAGCAGTTTGGTTTAGTTATCTCTCCTAAGCCATGGTTTGTAAGCAGTTATACATCCAGTGAGATCACTTCGTGCTAATGTACATCTTACTATTCTGGTGGTAGCATTTACACCTGTACTTACAACTAGGTCGTTACTTAACAAGTGTTATCGATGTCAAAGTAGCGCAATAATGTTTATTAGTTCGTAACTATATAAATATAATAGTACTATCTGTTGTCTATCCATGTAACTACTTCGCAGGGTGTTGATGGATCTTCACCAAAATGGGTATGGAGGTTCATTAGGTTGATGCGTGGATGCATAAAAATGTTCAGTTTCGCATTTTGCGTGTTTTTTTTTTTACCACTACTTCGCCACCCTG